CCGAGTTGTAAATGATTCATAGTGGCCCTATGAACAAAAGACCTGAATACTTGTATAACTGTTGTCTTTTCTCCATGTTCATAGAGTATCCAAAAGCAAGCCATTTCAGAAGTGGATACCACTCCTGCTTCCAAACCTATTAATAGTGGAGCTCCACCAAACACTGTCCACCATGAGTAAACATTGTCATTTTAGACACATCAGTGTCACGTCACAATGCTTAGCATCACAGCAACCATGAGTTACCTCTGTACAGCAACGCACAGACTAGTGCTATACCACTTAGAAGAATGTTTGACAAAAACCAATTTACAACAGGCTTGAGGGCTGCAGATTAAAATCACCCACCTTTGGCTTGGTAGCATAACTTTCTATCCACTAGGCCAACATAGCTTTCTCTAGGTTGTCGTTGTTATTGTTGTTAAGTGCCGTCAAGTCGTAGACTCATAGTGACCCTATGAACAAAAGGCCTGAACACTTGCATAATTTTGGTCGTTTCTCCATGTTTTTAGAGTTTCCAGAGGAGGTATATCTCATTAAAGACTGTACACACAAGGCAAAATCTATGTTTACATGGGCAGTTATTTGCCTGTAAGAAAATTTTGTGAGTATGATCCATATTCTTGCTATCCTAACCCAGCTTCATGCCTTTGAGTCAACAGAGAAAGATTATTTCGAGATAAATTCATGTTTTTCCATGGGCTATTCTTTCTGTACAAAATGAACTTCCTCCACTTAAATTCTTTTTCCTTTTCAAAATTTCTACTCATCCTTGAAAGAGCCGGTTGAAAAGCCCTTAGTGAAGTCGCTCCAGATCTGTAACTAGAAGAGTGTAATATTTTACCCTCCCTTTCTTAATGCACATCTCTTCCATAGAACGTTAATTATCACTTCTATTATGACTCATGAGAGCACAACCCGTTCTGAATTCCAGAAATTCAGGAGGGATTTGGAAGACAATGGAATGTGGGTTATCCAGCTAATGACAAGTGGATTTTGGCTAAAAACATAAAATAGCAGAAAGATGTTGATTTATACTTTATCAACTATACAAAAGCATTGGATTCTGGGAGTCATCATAAATTATGGAAAAAAACTGAGCATAATGTGAATCCCAGAACATTTAATTATACTTGTGCAAAACCTATATATACACCAAGATACAATTGTTAGAGTAAAACAAGGAGATACTACCGTGTAATCTAAAATCACAATTAAGTGTGTCTCAAAGTTATATCCTTTCACCATGCCAATTCTATTTGTATACTAAGCAAATAATTCAAGAAGCTGGACTGTATGAAGAAGAAAGTGGCATGAGAAATGGTGGAAACTCATCATGACTCCATTATGTAGATGGCACATTACTGCTTGATGAAAGTAAAATAGAATTGAAGCACTTCTTGAAGAAGATCAAAGACTACAACTTTCAATATGGATCATACCTCAAGATTAAGAAAACAAAAATTCTGACCACTGGCCCTACAGCAACTTGATGGCAGATGGATAAAATATTGAAATTGTCAAAGATTCCATTTTCCTTTGATCCACAGTAAACACTTATAGAAGCAGTAATCAAGAAATCAGACAACGTGGTGATTGAGCAAATTTGTTGCCCAAGATCTTTGTAAAGTGACATAGATAAATGATGCTAGTTTAAAGACATATGCCTGGCTCAACTCATGTTATTTTTTCATTGCTTTATAAATATGTGAAAGTTGGATAATGAATAAGTAATACTGACGAAGATGCCTTTGACTTGTGGTGTTGGTGAAGATTACTGGATATACTTTAGACTGCTAAAACAACCAGCAAATTTGTCTTGGTAAAAGTGAAGCCAGAGTGTTTCTTAGAAGTCAGGATTATGAGACTTAGTGTCATGTAATTTGGACATGTTCAGGAGCATTCAGTCCTTGGAAAACCCCATTATGCATGAAAAGAGTAGAGAGTTAACCAAAGAGAAGAAAATTCTCAACAAAATGGATTCACAGAGTGACTGCGACTATGACCTTAAACAAATGGAGGTCAGAGGATAGTACAGGATCAGGTAAGGATTGGTTGTATTGTGCATATATATGGTCATGAAATGTCAGAACCAACCAGACATACCTAACAGCAACTGTTACTGTTCCTGTTCCTGCCTTTGAGTCAGAAATAACACATAACTGACTTTTCAGTGGGTTTTAAGAGGCAGTTAATTGTAGGAGAGAATGTCCGTCCCTCTCCTGTACAGCTGACATTGGATTTGAACCATGTGCCTTCAGGATTGCAGTACAGTTTCTCACCACTAAACCACTTGAGCTCCTAGGTGAGCAATTAAGATGATTCATACATATGCACAATCATTTCATTTTTAATAAATTATTTACTTTCTTCATTTAGCTAATACATAACCTTTTGTACTCATCCTGGATGATACTCTTGATATCCTCCCACAACTCATCTGGTCTTCACTCACTGGTGTTCAGGGCCTCAAACCTGTTCCTGAGAAGGTTTTAAAATTCAGGTGGGATAGACGCAAGGTCATATTTTGGTTCCTGTGGATTAGGTTTAATTTTCCTCAGCTTCAGCTTGAACTTGTATATGAGTAGTTGGTGGTCTGTTCCACAGTCAGCACCTGATCTAGTTTTCATAGCTGATATTGAGCTTCTCCAGTGGTTCTTTCCACAGATGTAATCAGTCTTACACCATCAGGTGAAATCCATGTGTATAACCTGCATTTATGTTTCTTATACAAAGTATTTGCAAAGAATAGATCATTGATTGTGAAAAATTCA